CTTGTTTTTTATAAACTAAATCGCAAAAACATGCTCCATTTTATTGCAATCGAAACTATTCTAAAAACATACTCTTCTTTTTCTCAAAATAAGTCGACGAAAAATACTTACTCCACTCTCGATCTCACCGATAGAATTAGATATACACTTTATTTAGCCCTAAAATGTACAATATACATGACGTAACAAGCACGCAATTGATAGAGAGATAGAGAGAAAGTATTTTTGTGTGTGTGTGTATTTCCTTTCATAAACGGTATCGTCGCCAACACTGTCATAACCATCCATCATCGTTAAGACGTATAATATTTGACTTGGACCCTGAATTGAATGAACTTTCGTATTTCGAGTCACTTTTGTTTATATCACACTCACACACTTCGATGCAGTTGAACAACGTATGAGTGGGAGATGGTGGTTTTTTCCACAATAAAGCGAAATTACAACCCATCCACAAGAGAACGAAGACAAATGCATGGGCAGAGATGATTTCTTCATTCAGCTCACATCCGTTGTTACCATCAATTAATGGGTATTTTTCCGAACATTTAATTGCAGAATCACTCACAGATTTTTCTTCATATCGCGCACGCCACGAGCGCTCCCGAAATAAAATATTTGGCCCATTGCGTAATCGGCAAAATTAACGGAGTGAAGCGGTCGGTTGCTTGTTTAATATTAAAAATGTTCCAAAAGACACGTGGAACCGAAAAAAATTAGTATTCATGACGATGAAATGTGTGTTGTTCGGGCAGGCTGAAAAACCATTTCAAGTTGCACGTGTTGGAGTCAGCCCAACGTGATTCCGTTTGTTTAGGTTGAAAACCATTGAAATCGTTGTCTATTTCGCAAAAAAAAAATACTTCAAATTGGTTGCGCTTGAAGTTTTTCTTTTGGATTTTTCTGGTTGTTATTGCTACTCTTGCTTCACGCAACAGTTTTGCCGATTTTTCACGGAGTTGACGTCACATAAAACCATCACATTGTATGACTTCGTTGCGTTTGGTAAAGCGGTCCGTGAACACATTACAATTCAATAAATTGATTTGTTTTCGTGAAAATTTCACTATCATTTACGCCGCAACACTCATTCATTTCAACGCAATCATTTTGGCGTGTACGAGCTTATTCAACACAGTCGTATGACAAAATGGTCAATGCTAAAGTCCTCACTCTTTCCCTTTTATTCACATTTCATAAATGGTGTCTATGCGAAAAGGTCTCTATCACATTCAAAGCCATTCAAAGTATGCCAAACTTTTCGTATTCGAGCGATGATGTCTTTTTGTGTCTCCCGATCCAGAAAACATACACACACATTCCATATTGAAAATCGCTTCATCAATGCAGACAACGTTATCACAATGCCTACACCACCTTTTTGCCAATGGCGAAACGAACTTCAGTACAAAAATAAGAAAATTGGAAATGGATTTTTCTATATTTAATGGAAATTGACTGTCTTAAACCGTCTTCAATAAGGATAATGATATCGAGGAATGGAGGAAAAATGAAATGGAGATAGAGAGAAAGAGAACCAGACGTGGTGGAATGGAATTGAAAATAGCTGGGAAAAGAGATGCAAACGAATGTTGAAATATTGAGAGAGGAAATACGGTTCGCTTTGAATTAGATTACACAGAAGTGTATGTGTGTCAGTGCTGTTATCTACCGATTATTTCGGCTATGGATGAAATGCTTGGCTTATTCAGTTCTTAGAAATACTCCACTCCGGACGAACGTTGTAGAAACATTTACGCTTCATGCGATGAACGAAGATTATTTACCGAAATCGAAAAAGTTTTTTTTCACGAAAAAAAATGAAATCTTGAGTATTTATCCTTTTTCTCCTCTTTTGTTTATTTCTCCATTTTTTTGTTGCTGTTACTATTCTCGCACATCATTCCAAATCCTAATTTATATTGACATTTACCTGCTACTCCTGCTACTCCTGCATTTACCGACTACTACTTATTTGTCACCAGCGAAAAACAATTTTTTTATTGTTGTTACGGTTTATATCTAGACATCATTCCAGAAAAAAAAAACTTGTTCCATATTTTGATATCTCGTAAAGGCAGAAAAAAAATCTCTGCACACAGGTTCAAAAGCGAAACATACGATCAAAGAAGAATTCAAGCGAATGAGTGGCACATGAAAACGACTGAAGATTGACGAGTGTTGCGTTTTCATTATATTTTCTGCGAATGGTTGATTTGAATCCGATGTTGTTTTGTTCTTTCATTTGTTTGTGTCTCTCGTGAAACATTTGAAACCTTTTATATTTCAATTCTTTACTTTGTGCATAAACTCTCTCTTTTATGACACTTTTTTACCGTTTACCGTTTTCCTTCTGAAAATCTGAGTAAGAAAAAAAAAACCAACTGAAAAAAAATTTGGTCTTGTGATAAATTAGATGTTGTTTGGCATATTCTATGCCAACTGGTACATTGCACCGAATCTACAATCGACGTAATCTGTGTGCAGTATCTGATGGCCCATCCTATTTTCAATCTTCGATTCGCAAAACATTGCAATGGCGAACTCTTTCTTCACTCAAATGCTCTCAAAATAAATGGCCATTCAGTGATATTAATCAAAAAATTATTTCTCTTTTTTCTATTCACATTCACCGAATATGTCATCCATTCAAAGTTGACAATCAACGTTACAATAGCGGTGGTAAGTGAATTTTTGAAAAGGGACGCAACAACAAAATACATTAAAATGACTTTTGTCCACTTCGAGAGCTGTATACAATCATCAAGTCGGTGACAAAAACATATAAATATAATAATAATAACTGGATGCTGACGCGAATGTGTTTGTCCACTCTCATGCAAATCCATTTGATTCGATTTGAAGAGAAAAAATAAACATTATATCCAATAAAGACGGATGACAGGTGACATACTCCATCAAAACAGCAAGACAACGAACCAACAAAAGAAACGCAAACCAAAATTGCTCGGCCCATAAATTTCGGGGCACGAAATGATTGTGTCGCGTACAAAACCAATTTTTTATGGATTAAATGCATTCAAATCACGGTTATTTCGCAAATGTTGACCATTTTTGGTGAACCGACAAAAAGACATTTGCCACCAAACATTTACATAAAATTTATATTAAATTAGATCGGTAAAACGTGAAGCTTACGATACAATATCAAGAGTGAAATTCCATTTCGTAATTGATTTATTGGCCAACATTTTGGGATGAAATCACACAATTCATCGCAGTGGATATATTGATCAATGCCAATTTTGCTATTTAAACAAACATTTTTATATACATTTTTCATTACTCAAAGATCAAGGAAACCTATTATCAAGTGACTTCAGTGCATAGCATCTTTGAAGAATGAAATGGCTATATATACATTTGAACATTTTCCTTGTTCTGATGAAAATGTGATGAATTGCTAATTTTGGCTATTTTTTCTCTTTCTGTACGAATTCGTCGTATTCGAACAAAATGGAAAAAAAAAATTAGGAAAATACATAGCGATGAACGACGGCAGATACGTGCATGTTTGGGACCAGCGAGAACTGGGAAAATACCATCACGTGCATATTCCATATACCGGCGGCTATGGACCATTCCTGAATCCTTATGATCATATAAACAATCCGTACCTTCATGAGGTTCACGATAGGTAAGTAGAAATATAAAAAAATCCAGAAATATTGAAATATTTCAATTTACCACTTGAAAGATATCGAGACATTCGATTGAGTGAAAAGATAAATTTCAAATTTACATCGCAATGTGCATATTGAAAATCGATAAAAGCAGTTGAATGAGGCCGAAATTTAAGGTTCATTGTCGGCTTGTATTGGGTTCAATGTTTGATTTCTCACCAATCGGAATAGTACAAAAAAAGTTTATACTCACTGATTAACTCGAATAAAATCGATTCAATTTCATCGCTTTCTATTGTATACGGTTTGGCACGTGGTTTTCTATTTGACACAAAACGTAGACGTGCACGTATCATATGTAAACCATCGGTAACAACTCTCCTATTCAATTTGAATTTGACAACTGATATTAAGGGTAAACACCACCTAGATAATCTAAGGCTAATGACAATACAATCAAGTAAACTCTCCGTTCTGTCAAACGTGATACTGAAGTATAACATACATACATCACGAATTCGCCATCGGTTCTTTAGATGGCGCTTCGGTCAACCGAGTTCCAACCAAATACATGTATCAGTATACGAAGCATTCCACTGTTGATCGGTAAGCAATACCAACGTAGAAAAAAGTTATTCTTCTCCTGATTCGACATTCGAATCAACATAAAATCAGAGTGAAATGGATCATTTTTTTTATTGATTTCGATTGCGAGCACGATAGTTTATTTTCAATGAAATTCATCGCTATTCAAACGTCACAAGTGAATTGGAAAAATTCGTTTCAACTTCTTTCCATGAGGAAGGGGGAAAAGCATACGTTGCAAACGAACGACAACATATCAAAAATCCATCGTTGGAAAGTTAGCATTTCTCCATTTATTCTGTGATTGACTTTAACTTGTTTCTTCGAATTGTAATTTTATCACAATCTCATTTTTCTGTAGCACTTATTCTTTTGTGAATAAAATACAATCTCTCTCTTTATATCGGCAACACACATAATTTTACCCTATTTCCCATGTGTCAGATACAAGGCACGATTCCATCAAATAAAGCCGATAACAAAATTCAAGTCGTTATCCAAATTTTATGCTCATACAATGCTGAATACAAATTGCACTGTTGTTCATATCTTATTATAGATATGTGTATGACGCAAAAATCAATAGATTGAGATTAGCGCCATCTAAAAGTTGTTCATCTAAAAATTCAATCAGTGGGAAAACGAACCAAGTAACAATGATGAGCTAACATTTTTCGCTGGCATTGGGTTCGCCCACGTGTGATGCGATGTTCCATCTGACTTAATGTATAATATTTAGACCGATAGCTGTAACTTTTTGTTCAGTAGCTTCGTGCTCTTGTTTTATGATTCGATTAGATTCCTTTGATTTGTTCAAAGCTCCCAACTTTGGAACTTACCCTTTTCATCTTCAAGAAACATTATGCGTAGTTGAGAATTAAAATGGGATTAGCCGACACCGCGTGTTTTTATGTGAATCATTTTCGTGTTTCTGGTACGAGATATGAGGCAAGTATCTCAAGCAAACATTGCAGAAGACATATGTCTTCTATCTCTTATCAGGAACACAAAAATGATTCACATGTAAACGAGCGGTTTCGGCTAATCCCATTTTTATTCTCAACGACACATATATAATGCGATCGGCTAGAGCAATCGTGCTCACATCATGACCATATTTTGAAATAACACCGACACTCAATGTGAAGCCAAGAATACCATTTACATTCAAACGATTGTGTGATTTCGTATCTCAGTTTGTTAAGTGATTTCGCTTGTAGCAGAATTGAATTGCTGCGCCATATCAAAGTAATTCAAATTTATCTGACTAATTTTTTCTCATCTCCCTCCTCTCTCTTTATTGCAGTGATTACGAACACGTAAGTAGCTCGAGTGAATACCACCCATCTCAGCATCCGTACAATGCCCAAGGATACGAGATTCCAAAACCAGACATACCCCTTGTTTACGGATTTCCAAATATTCACTATAATGCACCATTACAATCCTCTCCAAACCTTCCCGTATCATCAATACCAACCGAAACCAACCTTCTTCTTCTCGATACACCAACCACCACGGATGCTTCATCATCTCTCTTAGACAATGATAGCACCACTATCTTAACCGGTGATAGTTTGAATGTTAGAAAAAAACGATCATTTATTCATTCACAGCCAAAACAGATTGAAATCACCACCACCGGTACAGCTCGACCACGCACACGTTACGATGACGAAGGAAAATGGAGAATCATTCGGCAAGAAGAAGACAAACAAGACAAAAAATACGATTACTTGTAAGTGATGCGTTGCTCGCGCCGCTCAAATGCGACGTCAAATTATTTTTTTTTGGTCAATAATTCTAATTGATCTTTTTGCATAATTTTGCAGCTTCGAAACCGAAAACAAAATTTTTGCACAGGAAGCCGGTAAAGTTGACGGAAAGGACAAAGCCAACGAAGGCACCAAAAACCAAGGCTGGTACCAATATGTCGGCGATGACGGCAAAGTCTATCGCGTTGAATACGAAGCAGGAGAACAAGGCTTCATTCCAAAGGTATAAAAGCCAACAACATCCTACATCCACAAACACCCTCCTTCCCCCACATTAAAATGATAAGAACAACGTTGAACCTCCAAACTTCCTTAAATCCTCCCTCTAAGTGATAATGAGCCTGAAAATACTTCGAATTCGTCATTCATATATGTTGAACTTCTCTCTAAATCCCGGTTTTCTTCAGGGCGACCACATTCACAAAGCAATTCAAAAGCATTTGGACAGCTTGAAGGAACGCAACCTGATCTAAATGCAACAAACATAATTTTTAGCTATTTAAATTTACATCTTACGTACGATGGCTTTTCCCTTCCGGTTTGAAATGGATGAAACGCATACACGTTTAATTTAAGGCGTCGAAAAAAAAAATTGATAGAATTTTGTCTTTGTGATAACTGAAAGAATATATGGTATCGATGAGCAAAAGTCGAAAGATCATCCAAGATAATTCACGTATTAATATAAACATTTTCCTACAATCCATTTATACTCACCCACAACACTATAGTGTGTTTAGTTTCGCAAATGCAATTGTAATTTTAATATTTGAACTATTTCCCCCTTAACCCTCATTACATTTTTATTCCATTCGACGCAATCATTTTTCATTGTCCCTTGACTACGCTGAAATCGGTCGACAATCATGGCAAGTGAATTCATGATTGCGAAGCACTTCTCAATAAAAAAAAAAACTACGCTACAAATATACCGCGTGTATCCCCTGCGCACGCTACGTTTATACCATTTTCACGCTTACGCTTATTTTATACATAGTTTAATACAGAGTCGAAGGTATATTTAAGGCATATTTTTAGCGTGAATCGCATGCAAAGCATACGGATAGAATACTTTGACTTAGCGTATTCTATCCGTATGCTTTGCATGCGGTTCACGCTAAAAATATGCCTTAAATATACCTTCGACTCTGTATTAAACTATGTATAAAATAAGCGTAAGCGTGAAAATGGTATAAACGTAGCGTGCGCAGGGGATACACGCGGTATATTTGTAGCGTAGTTTTTTTATTGAGCTCGAAAGACGCGACCACCCCTTTCAACTTGTTCATATTGATGCATATTTCCGTTCAGTTATTTACAACAACAAATCAGCAAGTGCATTCAGAATACAGAAACACATGTTACACGGACGCAATTCAATATTTTCCTCGAATTCGCCACGAAATTTAGCTGTTGTATGAACGTTGAGTCGAGTCTTTGGACACCGTTAAAGGAGAAAATGCATTACATCCCAAATCAAATTTCAATTTTAGTATAATCAAAATCACTTGTAAATTAGTCATTAGAGAATCTGAGTTTAATAAAAACAAAAACAAAAGACATTTTTGTGGCCATCAACAACAAAAAATCTTTTCTTTTTTTGATTTCATAGCCGATTCTTTTTCTACTACTTTGTTTCATTTGTTTGAAAAGCAAGAGCAAATCGTGTGAATGGCAAGTCGTGTGCAAAGGTTATATACTCTCAGCTGATGATCGATAAATTATTCGTCTTATTGATTTAATCAGAATGAAACGGATGAATTTCCGAGACAGAAATTGGTCAGGACACACATTTATTAATTAATAGGCTTTGAATTTATGGGCAAACCATAGCTGAAATGCATACAAATTGATTCCGAAGATTATGCAGATTGCATCAATAATTTATCATGGGGACAATAGCAAAAACCCATATTTATATGAAATATGGCAATACTTAAGATTTTTAATCCAATTTAGATGTTATTTCTGTTGTCTGCTGCCTTTTCGTTTGGAGTTTTTTTCACGTTCCATTTGAGTAGCTGATCCGGTTCAACTGATCGAAAGCACAATCGAAATCCATCGATCATCTAAGCTTCGAATTAAATAGACGAACAAACATTTGAAAAAAAAAAAAAACAGCAAAAAATGTAATATATTTGAGCTCATTCAAAACAAGTCGACGTATTCTTTGCAATATATTTTTTCTTTTCATTTAATTATATCACTAAACAACAAAACGACAATTGATGGCGCAGCGTTTTATTGTTTTAAAAATCCAGTGAAATACGAGAAGAAGAATAAAAGTATCGTCATCGCAATAAAGACATTTGAATTTCGGCTATAAATTCACACTTCTTCACGCTCATCAAAAAGTAATTGTTGAGTTTGGAATTTGATGTAGACGTATGATAGATATCTTTATTTAAATTAAGATGTTATATTACTTTAGTTTTTAGGATGTACCACAACCGATTGATATTCGATGAAAAAAAAAAAACTCAAGGCCGGTCAGATAATTGCACTTGAAAATATTATTTTATATAAATGAATATGCACAACATGTGTTTCGTCCATGATGGCAACGCCAGACACTTTTCTTCGGAATTCGCAGAGATCGATATAGCCTCTCATAGAGCACACACACACAATCGGGTAACGAACTAATTTCAGATGTGCCCCAGATGAATCAATGCGAAAACAGGTTTTTTAAGAAAACTTAATTATGCATTTACATAAATTTGGTCAGTTAAGAGATTGGAAGCTATGGGTAAAATCGTTTTTTTTTGTTTCACATAAAGTTCATATTAAATGCGACCAGTTTTTTTCCTGTTTCGATCTGATGTGTGTTTTTACTGTTTATTAACCAAAAGGCACGCACAGTACATAAGAGCCAATACAAAAGTCAATTGATGCGCATAAGGGCTCGGTGAATTGATTTATCCCGAAATTATTTATTTTTTAAATAAGTTCGGAAAAAAATAGCAATTATTTATCGAAATTATTTATCAGATAAATAATTTCGGAATTAGAGTCGAATGTGTAAGGGAAATGATTTATAAAAATAAATTAATTCGGATATTTCAAATCAAAGTTTTAATGGAGCTATCATTTTCATATTGTGATGACTTGTGCAGAAAACCGATTTTTGTGGCTTGAATATCATACAATTTTTTGTCTCATGCTTTTACTTTCATACATTCTATATACTTTGAGAAGATAGAAAATTGAAGAAATACAATGAGGAAGAATTAAATTAGTTGAATACAGTACATGTGACTAATAAATCGATCAAATAATGTTTTTGTAATATTTCAATTGGGTTAAAATTAGCTTTCAGTTGACGGCCACTGAAGGATCGCACATCGATCACCACTTCTGAGATCAGAATCTGATTCCGTTTCACTTTCAATATTGGATGTCATTGATGTACTGTTTTCATCATCAAATTCGTCTTGCATGTTTCATTCCAACGCAAATTCCTCTGATTTAATTCAGAATTCAATATTTCATCCCTCAAAAGAGCACAACTCTCACGTATTTTATCGGCACGTATCTGGATAATTATCGAATATGTATTACATAGATGAGTGTGTTATTTTAATGAATTGAAATTCATCTCACCTTATCTTGTCCTTTTTGTTGAGATTTGATAATTTTTTTTCGGATAAATAAATGCACATGCAACGAAACAAATTATCATCAAAATCGAAATTGTTCATAAATATATTTATTTTATAATTTATTTCATTTTTTTACGAAAATGTTTATCCGAAAATATTTATCTCCAGAAAAATCGAAGTTATTATTCATATAAATTTCTTATAAATAATTTCGGATAATTTTCTTCGGGATAAATGAATTCACCGAGCCGCGCATAAGTAGCGCCACCTCTAATGATTACGAAAAGTTACCATAAGTCGTATACAATTGATGTTGAGAAGAAGAAGAAGAAGAAGTAGACATTCTATTCATTTACATGGCAATAATGGCAATCAGTGGAGATGGTGCTCATGTGCCGATCATATCACTGTTTCAACCCTTCGTTATTAACAAACCAAATTTTATTCAAAGTGTATCCGTCAAATTTTCTTGAAATAGACCCGAACGAGAAAAAATATGTGATTAAATCGATTAAAGTTGAATAAACCGTCTGTATGAAGAAGAATGTACTTTTATCAAAGATGTTGATGTAATGAACACGTAACTGAAATTTCACATTTTGTCAAAATTTGTTTTCGAAAAACGCTGAACACAAATTACGAATTTGATGCGTCTACTTCAACAAAGATCGGTCTTGATTCTTCCAGAATTGGCAATAGCTGAAGTGGAATAAAGAAGTAGTAGAAGAAATGGTTTTCCAACTATTCTTTCCACCCAACTATTCATTAGTCGGGTAGCTGCTCATTTTAACCAAATTTTGGAGAATGACGTAGATTTACAAAGCAATATCACTTAATGCGAGATAAGAATCTAAATCGACATTTTCGGAATGAAAAGAGTGTTTGACGCTTTTATTTGAAATAGTTTTGGCCATTCGCTCTGTTTCACATTTCATGGATATTTTTTATGATCGTCGCTCTTGATGACTTTGTACGACAACAATAACGATGAAAAAAGTCACATCTTGATTGACATGTAAAATGAAATGAAATTGGAAAAAATTAGACGAAAAAAACAACCGTATTTAGACAAACAAGCATCGGTCGAGAATCGCCGGTTGGGTGAACGAAAAAAAAAATCAGGTTTTACCTTAAAGGCAATGATCTTTTCTACATTAAACTTGATGGGTTTTTTTCATCAAATAAATCACCACCCAGCACATGTACTATGTGTGTAAATATATTTATATACCAAATATACCACCCAAGCGTACACGTTTCAATGTGTAATTTTTATGCCATCTCTCTTAGCATCGTGGTCTTTTTGCTAAATGTCATCTGATTTTACCATTTTTACATTCTATATTCCTTGATCAGAGCACTTTTAATTTCAATACAAATCGATATCACGATAGAGGATCCCGCAAAATCATATAAATACTGTGTGGTGCCTGGAAGAAATTATTCACTGTTCCTTGATTGGTCAATCGATTTGGTTCATTCTATCTCCAAAATGAAATTCTTCGTACGTATCTAAATCAGTTTTGTTTCAAAAACTTAGTTCTTTGTTTCTTTAATTTTCATTTTAAATTCTTAACTGCTCAGTTTGTGGAAATGTGTGTGCTTTAGTTGTGAAAAGCTAAATATGATTATTTTCGCTTTTTCCAGTGCACTGAGACAGTTTTGTTTTTTATTATTTTACTTTATTTTATTAATATATTTGTTCAAATTTTAAATGTGATTTTAACTCAATAAAATGTCTCTCAAGTTGCTCGCCGTATTGGTTGCTGTTGCATCAGCTCAAGATGATGGAAGCTACCGACCAGAACATCATGATGGTGCATACGTTCACCAAGCTGTTCCATACCATCACGGCAGCGGCAAATACGTTCACAGCGCCCCACAACAATTCATCCAACATGCCGTTCCTCAATTCGCCGCTGCTCGTACCTACAGCAACGAAGGACACTGGCAAATCTTGCGCCAAGCAAATGAACAATCACCAGCCGGTGACTACGTCTTCGAATACGAAACCGAAAACGGAATCAAGGCCCGCGAACAAAACCAAGCTGTTCCTCCACAATCTCAAAAGACCCAAGGATGTAAGTCCAATTTATTTCCTTATACAAACTATGGCTAATATGGCTTTTTTTATTTCAGTCTACGAATACAAGTCACCAGAAGGCCAATTCATCCGTGTTGACTACACCGCTGACGAAAATGGTTTCCAAGCCGCCGGTGCCCATTTGCCAGTCGCTCCAGCTTTGCCAGCTGCCATCGCTCGTTCAGTTGAATACCAATTGAGACTCGCCCACCCTTAAGTCATCAGAACATCTGGAAATTTATTGAAAATTCAAAATTTTAAATGACATCGAAGCCATAAATAAATGTGATTCGTAAAAAAATTAACTATTTTTGTTTCATTTGCTAATTATTTGACAAAACAAAAATAGCTTACGAAATTTCGTTGGAAATATTTTCCCTGGAAAGAAAAAAAACATCTTTCAATATTTTAACGATCGAAACATTCTTCTTGGAGTTTGAAATGATGAGATGTTGCTTTTGATTAATCGTATTACAAAACAGGATATCCAGATGTACAGGAAGAAGAATCTTTATTAGTTCATTCATCCATTAAAATGGATTGGGACTTGATCGAAAATAAGTGTAGATGATCTAACTACTTTCAAATTCCAATCAGATTCTACACAAGTCATTCATCGCCACAAATGTAACAGCTATAATAGAGAAAAATTAATAAATTCAACCAAATAACCTCGTGCAGCTTGGCGTCATTTCCTCCACTTCCATATGTTTGCAATGATGTTTGAACTTTGACAAGCAAGCTTCTACAATACAAATTAAATGCGAGTGGAGACGCCACAATAATGACTCCAAAATCGTCGATTAATGATCAAACTACTTTGATATTTTTGATGATTCAGCGACTTTTTCTGCAGCCAAGACTGTGATTGACCGGTTCGCTTTTTCTTCTTCTCGCTTTTGCTCTATACTAAATTGGTCAAAAGCATCAACGGAAAAAAACATCCATGAATATCCATGACACAACGACGAAAAGAAAAATGAAATTCGTTATCACTTTTGACATGTGAAATATGTCTTTCGATATGATTTTGAACAGATACTGCAAATATGGCAATTAAATTATGGCGATTTTTATAATTTATTAAGCGTAACGCGTGATCATCCATAATTCTAACCATTAAAATAACCTGATTACTCAACCACACACTCTTTCTCTGTGTCTGAAAAATGGATTAAAAATGGTTTTCAATAGTCATTCGAAAAATTATGGCTTCAGTTGTGTGTTGTGTGTTGTGTGATTCATTTAATGTATTTATCAGCACTGGACGTTGTTAAACTTTTTAAAATAATTGATGCCGACGTCTGTTAACCTATTGAATTAAATGCGAATCGAAAAAATGAAGATAAGATTTTATTATCATAATAACCCACTACCATAATAATATTATGATATACAAACAAAGGCCCTTTCAATTTATAGCGCGGTGGGAATGGGCTGTGTCAGTCGTTGTGACAAACTGTTTTACGATTTTTGTTCGATGTTACGGTAATAAATGTGATTCTTAAGTTCCGTTATTATGATTCGGCTATAGTTTTATTGTTTTCATTTGGTAGCATTGATTGAATTTGCAGCTGAAAGAAATACGATGCGACAGAAAAAAATGGTACCATAGCTAAATGATGGAGACAAAAAAACGCCTGTTGTTATGCATTTCGTTAGTGAGTTCTAAGCAATCGCAGCAAGAACGCTGCGGCTTGCAAATATTACAAACAAAACGATTGGTAGAAAACTTTCCCAAGCAGCGGGCTCTGCGTGTTAAGTACGATTCATTAAGTAAACTCATAGAATCATAACTTTATTCTATCGAGAAAGCTCAACGAACTTTAAATTGATTTTATCGCATCTGTCGAAAGCAAATTTGAAAGTTTCAAATTGAAAAAAGATGTTTGGAGAGTTGAACAATTTATAAATGTACGCTCGTTAGGTCAAAGTTGATGCTGCACAGTTTTGATAGCAGGGAAGAGCAAAAAATAAATAAAAATCAATAGCTTGTCATGGTAAATTGCCCTGAATTTATTAAAATGTCGACAAGTTGAAGCCAGAGCATACGGAAACCGATTCGATTTTAATTTGCATTTATTATTTTATTTACCGTGGCAAATCATTTATTCGAATATTGGATTTAATTTGGCTCTGATGGAATGATATTCGCGAAATATGTGACAATATGGATTAACTGTTTCATCTGATTTCTGATTCCAAGTCTATTCTTTGTGACCAATATTAATTGGCGATTCAGAGAAATCCTTTGGATGTGTGGACACATTACATCGATGTAAAAAAAGGTTTTTTTTATGTGTTTTATTTTTTTAATGATTTTTCCTCTTTATTGAAATGTCAATGAAATCAACCGATTTTTGCTTTTCAATTTGTGGGCCATACATTAATAGAAATTCGGTTGACTAATCAAAAAACCTCCGCACACTCAAAATAATATGTGTGTTGCGTGCGTGTTTATAGTCTAAATTTAAATTGTGTATTTGCATTTGCATTTTGGAGCGTCAAAAACGGTATTGCAAATGTCAATTCAACGAGGAGAGTTCATTTCGTTTTTCGCGTTTTGCATAAAAATCAAATAAAAATCACATGCGCTGAAAGTCATTTCGAACCAATTTTTCTGCCATTTTTTTTTTAAATATAATTTAATACAAAGTCGCCAATTTATTGGACTCTCTCTGTCTATCGTGATGCAAACTCTTTGAATGTACCATCACACAAAAATGAAATGGATGAGCGTGGAAAGCAAAATGCCACATATCGAAAATATTTTAGAAAAGTCAAAGTTTGAACCATTTAGATGCTTCTCGATTCTAATAGGGAGATATTAAATTGTGCTTCGTACATTCTACAACGATTCAATGTTTTTTAGCACAATCAGATTAAAATGATAAGAAAAAAAAATGATATTCTTTTGTCTGTTTCGCTGACAAATACTATATATCTATGCGATGTCAAATGAAACCGAATAGTTTGTGTCAAGTCGAATCCATTAAATCAGTCCTATTGAGCCGGGCTTTGCATTGTAATGCCTCATGTTGAACTCTATAATCGTTTTTGTATAAAATGTCAACTGTTCATTGTGCCATCCGTATATGGTAGCCTATATGCATTTCAAATGGCCGTTTCAACAGACATGGCGATAAAAATTGCCTTAAAACAGTCTCGAATGCCCCAACAAAATGGTGAAAATATGAAAAAATTTATCGCCACAATTTCACAAAAACAACAGCACAGTATGATTTGAGAAATGCAAATGAATTTGTTCAATAAATTGGTTAATATTTACAATGGCCTGCTATTGCTATATTCTGAACCAGAAAAGAGAAGATGTAATAAATCCCTTTGAGCTGCTACCTGTTCCAATTGAATGTGCAAATGACGTAAATATTGCAATGATTGGGGCCATAACAACAACAGCAACATTAGCAACAACAAAAATATCAACTTATTTCAAACGATTCCGTATTCAAATGGCATCAACATATAATTTTCATCTCTTGGTATGCTTTCAATGGCAAACACATGATAAATGCCGGACAAACTACACACCAAAAACTAGTTCACGCATTATAGCACCAGCTGTTTCGTTTAATTAGATAATTTTTTCACCTCCGTTTGCCACACAACATACACAATACACATAGCAGCATCGTCCCACTACTAATTCGCAATCGTCCGATTTTGGAATTGATCCAACCGAAATCATATCATATAAAAGGCTTCCGTGCACTCTCATCGATATCAGTTCAGCACAGGCTATCAATCTGAAGTGTTTTGTATCTTCCAAACAAACAAATAATTTCCAAAATGGTAAATAGTATTACTTTCTGCTTTTACATTCCAAAAATATCAACAACAGCGCTAAAATCGAGTGTGCGTTTAACTAACGCGATTCGCGTCAAAAAAAAAAAAAAAAAAAAACAAGTTAAAATTAAGTGAACCGTATGGGCTAAAAAAAAGTTCGTCGAAATGTCGAGCAAACATTTCGCATCCGGCCTATATATTTGAGAACAATAATAACGGATTTAATGCAAAATCAGGATTATCTGTGCTTACACATGTAGCGCCAACGCGAGTTTGAGTTGTTAATCACCCAGTCACACGTTGTTTTCGGATTAATCTGGGCAATTTGCATATGCAATTATTTACAATTGCAACACTTTCCCTTGGTGCCGTGTGCTCATTGGGTGTTTTGGCATTCTTATTATTATTATTTATATTATTTTGATTCGAACGATTCAGTGATCATATCGTCTCTTCGTTATCGTTTCAAAAATTATTTATTTATTTATTTATTGTTTATCGTATTCGGTTCATGGATCTGCGGACAAGAGTTCGCGTGCAATGATCCATCAACATGCTGCCCTAAGGCCAATTACATTTCACTTAAAACAAGTATACATTTCAATGATTTAATTGCTTCTCTTATAATTTTTTTTTCTCACGAATTTTCATTTATTTGAATTTATATGTTCACTTGTCGATTAAAATCAATAGTCAGAACAATTATCTTTGAAAATTTTGATAACACACAACAATAACTGTCCACTTAGCCATTTTTGAGATTTTTTCGTGGTCAATAAAAATAACCAGTTCGAATCTTATTCGAAAAAATTCCACTTCAACTCATTTTTACGAAACCTTACATTTGTTTGTTCCTGAAATTCATCCAATTTTCACATTGAAATCTATTTTCAAACTCAAACCATCAGCCCACGAGTTTCGATTATCGAGAATATATTTTATTTAATTGCCACATAGGCTACATTCCATTTTGAAAACAAAAAACAAATTACCCATCTCTCTCATAATCCAAATAAATTATAGCGCTTGTGTGTAATTAACAAGTTAATTGTGGCATTCATATTGGAGTCTAAGTAAACGCTAATTTAAACGTTCAATTTCTTATTTTCGACGAAAATTCCAGATAAAATTATTGAAGTAAAATTATATATAAATGATGGAAGCATTGAATAGAGCAATTAATTGTCTGAGTGATGATAAAAAAATAGTTCGTTTAAGTTTGTATTTATTGAAATTTCTGGATGGAATAATCAGATCCGTATTGAATATTTTTAGTTTGACCTTGCCATTCAATGCTTAAAACTTCTTTTTCGATAATCAGAACTTACAGAACGCTCCAGATGAAACAAAATAATTTAGTCGAGATACATTACCATAATTATAAATCGAGAGATTGCCAAATGAGATTGCTTCGTTTTGTTGTTGTTATTGTTACCGTATACGCATCTTAATCGTGGTCATTTGATCGCGTTTGACATTTATTCTGATGTGGATATGATACGGGTTAATGGATCTGAATATTTTAATTTGATCAAAAGTTGTTGTTTCTGCTGTTGCTGCTGTTGTTGTTCCTATTTGTTTCATTTTGATTTCTTTAAGTCATATCTTTAATACCAATTTACAGTATGTGAGTAGCCACATATAACTAATGGTTTATTTTGTCAAATTTCAATGTTTTTTGCAGATTAAGGCTATTATTTTCGTCGCTCTTGCCGCCGCCAGCAACGCCGCTTTGTTGCCACAACAACGCGCATTCTTGCCAGCCGCTCCAGCTTTCCAACAACAAGTCTTGATTGCACCAAAACAACAACAATTCGTTCAACAACCAACCTACCAACGTGCCTACACCCCAGCTGGTTCAGAAGCCTCCGCTCAAACCTTGCGTAGCGATGCTGTTGTCAACCCAGACTCATTCCAATATGCCTACGAAACATCAAACGGTATCTCTGGACAAGAGCAAGGTCAATTGAAACAAATCGGAAGCGAAGCTGGTATCGCCACACAAGGAAACTTCCAATACACCTCCCCAGAAGGTATCCCAGTCCAAATCAGCTATGTTGCCGATGAAAACGGTTTCCAACCACAAGGTGCAGCTCTCCCAACCTCACCACCAGTGCCAGCTGCCATCGCTCGTGCTGTTGAATACTTGCAACGTGCTGCTCCTCAACAACAACAAGTCTACCAAGGTTTCCCAGCCCGTTTCTAAGCAGTTTCATGGCATTGCCGAGTTAAATAAGCAATATTTTATTCTATAGCCAAGCATAAAACAGTCACTTTTTTATCTGCAATAGCCGTTTTTTTTTTACTAAATGTGTAATATGACTTGTGTTGCACAAACACACAGAGGATGCATAACTGAAATCGTCACCAGAAATGTACGACACATCTAGTGGTTTCGACTTTATTTAATAAATCGCATTTTTCATACAAATCCCTTTCTTATAGTTGTCTTTATTCTCTTTTGTTCCATGTCCTTTGAAATGCACGGCATACAATCATCCACTTCAGTTAGTTCAGTTACATTTTACATCTTGTCCATTTTAGTTGGTGAACGACTGTCAAATGAAGAACAAAGCCATATTTATGAATATTTAAAAAAAGAAGAAAAACGCCTTCTGTTTTCTTTATTTATTTTCTATCATAAAAAAATCGTTCGCAAAAGTATGGCTATAATAAAAATGGGTGAAAAAATGTCGCGTTTTATTTTAACGATAACACGAAAAATCGTGATGCAAATAAAAATTGTTAGAAATGAATGTAGTCTTTTCTCCAAAGTTTTAGTTCGCTGTAAAGTAATTTATCGTAGCGCAGTGAACTAAACACTCTCACATTCCTTCCTCTTCGTTCTCTCTTCCTGTACAAATTGTCCAATTTGCGATCAAATATTCCTGGTATGGAAACTCATATTCGTCAAAATTTTCAAACGTTCAACATTGCGTGTTTGCATTAATTTACTGAACTTGATACCCAAAATTACGGCCGACCACTTTATAGTGGGTAATGAAAATGTCAAACGCAAAAGCATTGTTTTAATGTAATAAGAAAACAAGTTATAATAATAATGCCTAAAAAGCAAATGAATAAAATATAGTATGAAAACGAAACGGTGGAAAAGGTTTGGCGTATATATATATATACAGGGTGACGCACTCGAAGTGTAACTAAAACAGAAGACTATAACTTTTTTGTTTTTTGATTTTTTTATTGCTCTAAAGGTACGAAATGTTGCAAAATGATACAAAATTTAGAATCAACTTCCAGATTTTATTTTCAGTTGCACTGGATCGAGTGATCCCTCACGTCCACCATTTTTTTTAAAATGTGTTTGCACGGAAGTAGTTGTTTTGACAAAAATAGAACTTTTAGAAGAAATCTAATATAGCTTGAGTAACCACAAACCATGAAAGTGATTAGATTCTAGTTCGTAGAATATTATAAAATAACTCCAGTCTTTATTGGACCACTATCACCCATGTATAACTCCTTTTGAAGGTCGGAACTGTGATAGTCCCGAATTATGGGATTTTCTCACCATTTTCTCCATTCTGACCACAAAATAAGTGACATCTTGTGACGTCATTGGTGTTGGGGTGAAGATTGAAGCTCTATAAATATAAACCAGGCCATAATGGTTCCAGAAGATTCCAATAAAATACTTAAATTTAACCCATATTAGAAGAAAGCCATGCTTCGGTGAAAAAAACGACTTTTTAGAGCTCATTTTGGTCGACTATTGGCTGTCGATTTTGATGAAGAGGGTTTCCAAGGACTTTCATTCCTGAAGTATATTACAAGGCACTGTTAGCCCACAAAAATACCAAACATGGGTTATCTCAATGTGAAGACTATAGCCGGAATAAGAACTAATTCCAAACACCCACGTTCGTGCAGGGCTCATGTTGTTGAATCGTAGTCTTGAAGTCATAACTCGATCCAATGCAAGTTATATTGAAGTGTGGAAGCTGATTCAAATTTTTAATCATTTTACAACATTTCATGCCTTAAGAACAATAAAAATTACCAAAAAACAAAAAAGTTATAGTCTTTGGTTTTAGTTACACTTCGAGTGCACCACCCTGTATGCAGGGTGTAACAGAATTGTGTGCCAATATTTTAACCACGTATTGCTGGGGCCAAGACCTATCGAAAATGTAGGAAGCACTTTTCTGTATTCAATCTGAAAGTTTTGATAGTTGAAACGGTGTTTTAGTTCTCTTCGTTGTTTATTTCTCTTCGTTGTCTCTAAGAGTTTTCTCCATGAGCATTCATTCATTAAGTCGCTAGGTAATTTGAAGTATTAGAAACTGTAGGCGTATCATGACACGCAAAAATGAAATACATAAATGACATTTTCTTTGTAGTTTCATTTTTATAATGTTAAAGCCAAATTCGATAACGAATTTCTTTACGTTGATCAATAAAGAATAAGGCTCACGACAAAATTATATATACCACATCCCAATCGATCCGAAAAAACAAAAGCGAGTAAGTGTGGATGAGTAACGTAATCTTCGATAATACGCTGACGTGTTATCGTATGTATTCCATTATTATGCATCAACGTTAGCATTGTGAATAACACGCCTACGCTCTTTGAGCTATCGAAACATTCGATGAACTTTTTCCAGTTCACCTTAACGCCATAAGAATAGTCAGTAGTCACTTTACTTCGTGTGGAAATTCGCAATGAAAATGTTCTTGTAGATTTTAGTATTAACCATAAACTCACGCTTTGGTCAATGTCGCAATTCACAATCCTTTGTCAAGAGGGGGCAAATCTGAGCTTCGGAACACTGGTCAGAATGTATAGCCATTGAGTTGGTCGATCAAAATACACACCGACACAGAGCTTGTCATTTGAGTTAAAGTTTTTTTGAAGAAAAAAAAACAAGAACGCAGAGCGGAGATGTCTGATATGAGAGATGTCTGATATGATTGTACTTTGTTAACAAACTGTTTTTTTGTGTTTGTTAGATTAAGTTTGCAGTGATGCATCATTAAACTCGTCATATATATTTACAAGTAGCAACAAAGAACAAAATTCTCTATTCTTTCAAAAGCGAATTATAAGATCTTGATTCTATTTCATTTTTTGAAAAATTTTGCCCCTGGTTTTTATTTAATAATAATATGAGCATAAAATAGGTAACTTTAATTCTATTCGATATTCAAAAAGGCATTTGGAGAATATGAAAGCTCAACATTTCATGTACTGCAAAAAAAAGAAACCAAATGCTCGATGTCCAGCCAAGAATATGTAAAAAAAAAAACAATTTGATTACTAATGTGGCTTCTTAAAATGTCTACCCACAGCCCAGAACTATACTTCGAAATGAAATATTTATTTCATTTTACTGAATATATTTCCTGACAATAATTTGTTTACTCTTTTTTATATCGACTGGATCAACATTTTTTATATCAACTGAGTGGTATTGATGAAATAGAAAAAAAATGACAATTCCAACACGTTCAATATCCGTTGTGAATGCTTGGAACATCATAAAAAACTGCCTCAATTACTTCTGTTTACAAAAGAAAGAATGAAGAAGTGGAATTGAAGCGGTGTGTGAAAGTGAAAGCATCACTCCACTAAGCTAAAGGAATTTTTTATTTTCCTCGATCCCAAAGCCATTCCATTATAGGTGTTCATTTTCTTCTGTCACCAAAAAATGTGTGCGACATTTTTTGTATGTGTCTGAAGAGCGAAGAATCAGCCGTATTTCAATTTTACGTGTATGCAACGGAAACGTTCTGTAGAATTGATTGTTACATTTGCTTGAATTTGGCTTTGGCTTCATATATGCACAATATTTCGGTATACTGTAAAAATGAAAGTAAATGATTATCTAGCGTATGAATAGTCGTTTTGTTTATGTGTTTCTATCTACAACATTATCATCGAAGCATCATCACTAACGGAAACAATTTCCATATAATAACAATAACGCGTGGATACTCACACAATCTTTTTTTCAATTGAAAATCTACACTGAATTCCCTTTTGCTGCTGGGTGCTGCACGTGTGTGTTTGTGTATATGCTGTTCTAAACAAGGACCTTAAGTGTTTGGCTGTTTACCTTTTTATTAGCATCGCGTCGTATAGAATATGTCGACATAGAGCATACAAGATGAAGTAGGAAGAATAAAAAATAAGACATTTCGCATTTTTTTCTGCAGAAAATTTCACCGAAGCTGAAAAAATGAGGGCAAAGCAAAAAAAAGCGGACAGGGCAACATCGAACGAATTGCCAAAGAGAAAACTGAAAACAGCGCTGTCTTTTGCCGTGGAGACATTTGCTATAATATACCTACGGTGATGTTCTTTTTCGAGAAAAGCGTTAGGGATAAAACTAATTTACAATTCGTAATCATTTAAATTCGCTTTGCTCGCAAGATATGCAGCGACACGCAACGACTTCTTAAGCCAAAGACATTTGTTTCACTTTTTTTCATTCGTAAAATAAAATGCAAACGCTCGCTATATATGCTAAAGCAGAAGAGATAATAGATGCAGAGAGAAAACTTTGAGCTTTTGAAATAACTGCTTAAAGCAGCTGAAATTTGCCGTTCTGCGAAAATGAAAGAGAATATAAAATGTTAGTGTCTTCTTCTATTTTGAAAAAAAAAAAAAAAATTTATTCGCATAATTCACCATTCAGCGGTAATTGTTTTATACTCTTTTCGAAGTGTATTCTTATTATCTTTTATTGCCATAATGTTTGAAATTTGGTATATGCAGAGGACAATTTAGCAGGGACCTATATACATTTTTTTACAGTTTCATTTTATTTTCTTCAATCGAAAATTGTAAAAATAGCAAAATCCCCTCAAATTTAGAAATCTCCACGTGGCCAAACAATTTTTACGTGCTTTTGAGTTTATATGAACTGTGAGAATATTTGTTGGACGTGTTTCGATGTGTTGTTTTGATTGGGAACTTGGAAAAAGTTGTACGAAAAACCGGGACAAATGGAACTAAAATCGCAGTCACTAAGTTGTATGATGTATGTAATGGTATACAATTAAAACTGCCTAAGTTGATTAAAATCAACTATTTTGTATGGAATCAATCACTTTTAGTCAATCACGGCTTGGAAACCGCAAAAAAATTATTTCAAAATGTCACTTTTACGTAAAACTTTTTCAAGATTCACATTCAATGCATCGAAAATATTCTCGGCAGTTCATATACGGAATATAACGAAGAAAATCTACAAACGAACGTCCATAAAAAATGTTTATCAATACGCGAATAAGATTTTCAAGATTAAAAAAACACACTTTGATAGAATTAGTTTTGATTTGACTTGTTAATTATAAAATATGAATTGCACATGCAATTGGAATCATCTTCACCTAGACCCCAGTTCGATGGCATATTAATTGCTGATTTTTCTGCTGCAGTCGGCAAATTTTTATATTAAGTTT